CTACAACTTTGCGCTGTGTATCGCCGGATCGGCTTTCACCGTGGATGAAGTGGAGTCCAGCCCGGGGTCGTCACATGTGGTTGCCGCAAGCCCTCCGGACGCTCCTTCGTCGAATCCGCCGACTCTGCTCACTCGAGCCCTCCGGCTGTTCCTCACTTTATACCCCGGCCTCTGCTCACTCTAGGCCGCCGTGTGTGACGCTGTGTTTCGTTGTGAAAGCGAAACTACTTTTTTTGGCCTTCCAAAAATGAACACGACTAGAAATCAGTGGTTAAGTTGTATTTACAACACTGTTCCAGAACACTTCAACCCAAATATGCAGATGTGTGCAGCACATTTTATGGAGGACCGTTTTCTGATCCCGGGAGAGTAGACTACAATGCCGGCTGTTCTGACTCACAGACTGCAAGTACTTTTTTTTATATTTAAAGAGTTTTTTGGGCAGTGTAGAGTAGGGCTTGTTGTTTGTCATTTCTCCGATCACAAATGCAGACATGGTTTTATATTTACGCGGCGCGATGCAACGCAACACGTAAAAAGACAGTATAAGTCATTATAATCCATAATTATGTCCACACTGGATGCAACGAATTCCTCGTTTATAATGGGTTTTCATGATTTTGAATCATCGCTCCGGCCTGACAGGGCATCATCACAATATGGTAAGGGGCGTAACATTTCCGTCTCACGCTTGAGGTATTCAGCCAATCACAACGCACTGGATAGCTGGCCAATCACAGCACACCTCGCTTTTTTAGAATGATGAGCTTTGTAAAAATCGACACGTTTCAGAAAGGCGGGGCATAGAGGAGAAACGATAATGTACAGTATGTGGAAAATAATGTGTTTTTTTTAACCTTGAACTACATAAACACATTTCAATACACCAACTACTGTTCTTTTTAGCAGCATCATATGACCCCTTTAATATATATTGGTAATCAGCTGATATTAGAGATTTTCTAATTTATTGGTATCTGTCAATGTTAGATATTTAATTGTGCGTGCTAATGTCTTTTATTTTTACATTTAGATTACCTTTGCTGTCACCTTACCCTGTTAACACTAAAACACTAACAATTTAATAACACTGTTAAATGTAATCTTTAGCGAACCTCAAAATAAGTATCTTTTTCATACTTTCCTTATTGTCTTACTGCACATTATAATATTATGATACCTAAATTCACTTGTAGTTAAAATGTCTAATATTAGTTTGTGTCTTATAATATTATGGATATAATATGGATTTTTTTTATAATTAAACCAGTCTTTTTACAATCCTACATCAAGATGAAATGTGGAAAAATATATATATTTGGCAAAGACTGCAGTGCATTCTACTATTTTTTTTTTATTTTTTACATTTTCTACTTCAGTTGAAGAAGATCTTCCACAACAGCTCAAAGACTCTGGCCCACCTTCCACTGCTGAGTCTAGTCTAGAAGGAACTGAGAAACACTGGGATAAGAAAGAAGAACTCAAGCGGCAGAAAACTCTTTTGGAGGAGAGCCGGAAGAGACTGGAGGGAATGAAGAAACAGGACTGGAACAAGCAGGGTTTGAGGGAGAGCTTGATGGAAATACAGAAGAGACTCTCGAAACAGGTGGATCAGCTGGGCAAGCGGGAAGAGTGTAAGAGGAAACACCAAGAGCACAAAGGAGAAAAGGAATGGGGCAGAAAGAAAGAACATGACAGTCGCTGGAAGAAAGACGAGGCAGAAAGGGGAAAAGAGTGGAAGCATGGTAAGGACAAAAGGAGAGACCTCAAGAAGTACAAAGAAGAGTGGGACCACAAGAAGGATGAGAGAAGGCAAGAGAGGGAACGGAGACAGAAGGAAAGACCTTGGGAGGCCAAACCTTCCAAGCATCATCATCATCATCATCATCACCACCACCAAGAGCAGATAGACTTCTGGAAACACCAAGAAGAGAAGCTCAGGAGGAACCGACATCGTGCCGAAGGCTGTCATGGCATATCCAACTGTGCTGATGCAGAGGGGCTTGTTCCTGTGAAGCTTACAGAGTTTCAGGACCTGCTTGAGATCTACCTAAGCAAACTAGATGGTGTTCCACAGGAAAGCAAGGAGTCTCTCAGCCGGCTCACTGCCCAGTTCTTCAGCGGCGGAGTTTTCGCCCACGACAGAATGCTCTTCAGTGAGTTTGCCAAGGATATTGCAGATATCCTGGAAGATCTGGCAGATGGTTTAGAAGGCAAACAGCATGACAATGATTCCCTCGAAGAAGAGATGGAGGAGTTTGAGAAAGAGGCTCTGCTACAGTTCGCCGCCCCTTTGGCGTAATTGCTGCTGCCCACCCCAGGAACTCGGTTGAACGGATGGAAAAATACACCGTGAAGGAGAGCGAACGGAACAATCTCACCCATTACTTTCCCCGTTCTTTACGGACTGTAGATGTAGTTTAATGCCTTGTGTGTGAGGAGTTTCTCTCTTTGGAGTCTTGTCATTAGTGAAGTCCCACATGTGCGTTGGGTGTTTTGTTGTAAGCTACCTCTGTTAGTCCTGTTCTTCGACGCCAAACCTTTTGACTCTTGCTTGCTGTGTAAAGTGTCAGTCATCTTAAGCATTAAGTGTTGCCACATGAATGAATCTGCTTCACTTGCAGATGGATCGGTCACCTAGTACAAATGGAGTGGCGAACGAGATTAAAGGGATAGTTCACCCAAAAATTAAAATTTGATGTTTATCTGCTTACCCCCAGGGCATCCAAGATGTAGGTGACATTGTTTCTTCAGTAGAACACAAACGAAGATTTTTAACACAAAATGTTGCAGTCTGTCATTCATATAATGGAAGTGTATGGGAATAACGGCTTTGAGAGTCAAAAAAACATACACAAACAAAACCAAATTAAACCCTGCGGCTCGTGACGATACATTGATGTGTAAAGACACAAAACGATCGGTCTGTGCAAAAAACTGAACAGTATTTATATAGTTTTTTTACCTCTGATTCACGCAATGTCCGAACTGTTCAAACTGTCCTGAGCGTGTTCTCAACAGCAGGCGCGTAACGCTTCTTCTTCTTGCTTTACGGTGGATCGCAGACTTATAAGTGCATTACCGCCACCTATCTCTCAAATGGACCACTGACACTCTATCTACAATCTCAATTAGGAGTGTCAGTGGTCCACTTGAGAGATGGGTGGCGGTAATGCACTTATAAGTCTGCGCCTTTCGCGCCTGCTGTTGAGAACGCGCTCGATGCGGTCAGTACAGTTCGGACATTGCAGTGAATCCGAGGTAAAAAAAAATATATAAATACTGTTCAGTTTCTTGCACAGACCGATCATTTTGTGTCTTTACACATCAATGTATCGTCACGAGCTGCAGAGTTTAATTAGGTTTTGTTTGTGTATGTTTTTATTACTCTCAAAGCCGTGATTCCCATCCACTTCCATTATATGACTGACAGACTGCAACGTTTTGTGTTAAAAATCTTTGTTTGTGTTCTACTGAAGAAACAAAGTCACCTACGTCTTGGATGCCCTGGGGGTAAGCAGATAAACACCAAATTTTCATTTTTGAGTGAACTATCCCTTTAACACTAAACTGGGTAAGTGCAATGAGATGGGTAGAGAATGCCCCTTTATAAGTTGTCTGAACAACCAAAATTGACTTAAAAACGATGTAGAATGTCAGGACTTTTATTTTAGCTGATTTTTTTATTTATTTTTTTTTAAAATTAAAATCCTGGTTTCTTTGTACCTACCCCATGATTTGCTTACTAAGCTGATGTCAGACTGGTTTCTTTTTAAGTTTTGTTTTTGCCAGAGGTTTTAGAGGTCATTGTAAGCTTTTTTTTTCTTCCGGTTTCTACCCCAACTCAAGTTCTGCTCACACTTAATGTAAAGGAAAAAAAGTAAAATCTTTGAATAATTTTTATTATTATTTTTTTTAGGAATTTGATATGTTAGCTTATGTGCCTTTACTAGTGAGCACAGAATTCTGGTACTGAAATCAACTCAAAACCACAATGAATGAAAATAGAGAAAGTTTCAATAATGGTTTTGTTTGCACTGTGGTGATGTGGACATTTATTTATATCCTCTTTCTATCTTATGAAAACAGCCATTGTAGTGAATCATCAAGATCATTTGATTATAGCGGTGTTATTGTTTTGTTGCACTCTTTTGAGATGAAAACCATTGAAATTAGCCCTTGTCTAATTTGTAAATACGAAGAAAAGGTTATTTAATGGAACTCATAATTTAAGTTATAATATGGCACAATGATATTTAATATGAAAGAAAATTTAATACAGTTTAAAAAAAAGGTATACAAGACCAAATGACACAATGTATCAATATGAACAATTTTTGATGATTAATAAAATGATGTACCATCGCCATGATAATTATTGAGATTTATTTTCCAACTAACAAATCAGAAATGGGTGTTACCTTCAGGATGTCTGGTCTAATTTATTTTACCTTTAAAAATACCTCTACTTTACATTTGTTTGTTTTATATTCTGTATAAAAGCACATTCAGTTCTGACCTCTAAAACTGATCTGTAGGAGACATATTAGTGAGGTCTTTGTATTTGTTCCAGCATGTCAGTTGATGCTGAGTAAGTTTTGACAGAGTTATCAGATGAAGGTTCCCTGACGACAGATGTTTGGATTGACAACATTTAGGAAACCTGATATGTGTAGAGTAATCAACCTTCATGTGTTAGGGTATGCTTTGAAATAATCACAAATATAAATAGTACTTTTTCTTAGTACCGTAAACCACAATGCCATTAATCTGTCGGATATAAATCGTATTTTGTCATCTGGATTACTATAAATGCATTGTAAGTGTGTGTGAAAGAGAGCCTAAACTACTTTGCTATGGAAACACTGAAGCAAGAGATAAGAACATCCTGACATGTGAAATGGAGCAGTGGGTGTGATTCTGGTTTTCCGCTGAGTTTGACGGTCAGATGAAGAGAATATAAGGTGAGATGTGGTCCTTTACTCACCACAACAGTCAGAACATCATTCCTTGGCTCAGGTAAGCCTATGATATTTTTCTGTTTTCTATGGAATCCCATTTTTTTGTTTACATTGCATATACCTTCTTGCCCTTAAAAGTGTTAGTTCAGCCAAAAATTTACATTCTGTCAGTTTTTACTTATTCTCTTGCTCACCTTTCTGGCATCTAACAAAAAATGACTGGAGCATCCTCTGTTTTTTTTTTCTCCATACAATGACAGTAAATGGTGACCATGTGTTCTTGGTCCTCATCCACTTTCACTGTATGGAAAAAGAAGCTTGGACAGTCTGCTAAATATCTCCCAAGTTATATGGATTTAAAGCATGGTGATTATGAGTAAATGGTTCTGAATCTTCATTTCTCAGTGAAATATTTTTATACCACAAAATGGGTATTTGATAACTGAAAAGGACTAACCTGTTAAGTACTTTTTTGTTTTCTAGCCACCTAACTATCCTACTCCTAAAGTCATGGAATCTGCCATTAACGTGCTCGTTTCCCAGTTCAAGACTTACGCAGGGAAGGATGGCTCTGCAAACACTCTGAGCAAAGAAGAGTTTCAGAGCTTGGTCACCTCCCAGTTACCAAACTTTGTAAAGGTAAGCCTTTTGAGTTATTACATATCCTATAGAATCTGTCAGCTTCATATCTATATATTCCTCAATTCAGGTCTACATACTTAAATATGTTTCCATTTAGAACCCATTTAGTTAAGAAAATCATCTGCTTTAAAAAAAAAAATGATTCAGTACAATGATCTTAAAGAACTATAATCTAATATTAAGAACTTTTTTTCAAAATCTCCACAGAACCATAAAACCAACTCAAAAATGGTTCTTAATAAGAAGAGACATGTCTGCTGAATCTCAGGTGCTGCAAAGAACCTCTGTTTTCAAGGGCTTCCAGCTACAATAAAATGGTTGTCTTACAGCATGCTAAATTGTTCATGCGAAATTTAATTAAAATGTTCAACCCGTGACCTTTAATAACAATATTCAGAAAATTGAAGATTGTTTAAATAAATAAACAATGGCCTTATTTCCAGTGCTTAACTGGTATTCTGTGGTCTAAGAAAAATTAACCAAAATTGATAAGAATGCTGAATTTTACTATAGAATTCTTTCATAGAATTATTTAACATATATATTTTTTTAATTTAATGGACTTGTTTACCGTATTGGAATGAATACTAATGCTGAACTTTACTATAAAACATTTTTTTAATCTGAGACCTCATTAATAATATAATATTTAGATATAAATAATGACCTTATTTACAGTGTTTGTAGGCTATTCTGTGTTCTGAGAAGAATGAGCCCAAAAGGATAAGAGCACCATTTCAGAGGTCTGATGTGAGTTATTAGTTAACCACATCCCAGTCCTCTAAAGCATTCCTTGTGAGTCACGTGTTTCTGATTTTGTAGAGGAAATTACACAAATCCTTCCTATGCAAAAAAACATCTAAAGTCAGAGACTGACCTTATACTGCTAGCAAGTGTGAAAACAAACTGGCTGCTTTCAGCATGTTTACATCCTAACCAGATCTCTAAGGCTGGATACAATAGAAAAATGCCACATCAGAGCATTTTCTGTTTGGCCCATCCAGAACAGGAACTCCCCCCAACCTAATAGGTCAGCGGAAAAGAATGCGCAGTACCAGTGACAACAACTAGATGGAGACGCTATCATTGCAAGTGCGTATAAATACCTGTCCCATCTTGTCTTCTCCCACAGAATGCCTCTGACCCAGCCACCATTGATCAGCTCATGAACTCATTGGATGCGAATAACGATGGAGAGCTGACGTTCCTGGAGTTCTGGCAGCTGATTGGCAGTGTGGCGAACCAGCATGGCACCTTTTAGCCAATAAAGAAACCTGAAGCATTAGTCTACTTGAAGAAAATCACTTTAAATTTTACTTTGTGACTTTCTGATGTAATTATAACATTGCGCAGTTAATGATTGTCCCAAGCAGGGACGGCAAATAAAAGAAAGCATTGTTTAATTCTCCTGGTAATCTTGCCTTGCCTCTTTATTGACCATGTCATATAAGATTCTCTGCACACCCTCCAATCTCTCCCACTCTTTTGTGTAGACAATATAACGCATCTGATTTAATAGCATCATTTTATGGTAACCCAACACCACCCTGAGGCCCTCAACTATCCGATTGCACAGCGGCTTCGTTTTAGATCTTAACAATTTCAGCTCTAGACAGCAGTCAGTTAAGAGACATCCTTATTGACACATTCAATCTCTCACACAATATAAAGTAGGTGCCGCCAGTTGCCTCGCATACAGGTGTGGCTTGGGGGAAGGGTGTTGGTTTCTTTTGGATTATAAGGGAGATTTAGATCTTATTTGCATGTGCAAATATATCAAACTGAATACAACATTTCTGAGAATTTTGAATTGTCTGAAGAGCATTGATTATCAGTGTTAAATCACCTGAAAAGATGCATTGAGATTTAAATTTTAAACCCATCATACTGGTCTGATGAGGTGGCAACAGGGGTCAGAGGGTTTAAATCTTACTGAACCGGTCACAGTTCCTGTGGGGTGCCTAAAAAACATTTTATGCAACAAAAATATAATATTTAAGATTAAGTCGTAAGTGAACTTTGTAGCATAATCAGAGCTGTGAGGCATGACCATAGTCCACACAAAGCGAAGCCAGTCAGTACAAACCACTTTACATAGGCGGTGCCTCTTGTAAACACAGATAATCATAGTAAAGCGCTAGCACTGAGATATGATTCATTAGTCTATATGTCTCCCCTGAGGCCTGTTAAAGGCTGTCTGAAGATTTATCACAATACAATGCATTCCTGTTAGCATGAATTTGGACTAAATTCATTCCTGGGGCGTTAAAAAATAAATAAATAAAGAACTGTCTCAATATTGAATGGGTAGTGCATACCAGTGTCAGAATTGTACTTTTTAAAAATTAATAGGGGCCATTATTTGCCCCCTGGAATTTATTTTCTGAATTTTTTTTTTTTTTTTACCAATATAAAAAGTTTCATTTTTTATGACACACTCTTAGGCTGATGATACACTCTGAAAAATGCTGGGTTAAGAAGGGACAAACCCAGCAATTGGGTTTGTCCCTTTTTAACCCAGCATTTTTTAGAGTGTACATGAGGCAACTTTTTGAGCAATTTTGCTGGGCAACTTTTTTTTTTAACAACGTTGCCTGGGCACTTTCCCCATTGTGAATGGGTAACAAATTTCTATCTGGATACTTTAGATCAGTTGTGGACCCTGTGTCTCACCTGGTTGCCCGTTGACGGCAACATTAGCCAAAGTTGCAGACAACATTGCTCAAAAAGTTGCCCTGTGTATCATCAGCCTTATAGTTAATTAATTTAAAAAAGCAATTTTATGATAGACCTAGCAATTATTTAGAAAACCAAAGAAATAATTGTTCTCTCTACGTTTAGATTAAACAGCTCTTTAAAATTATGGAAGATTTTTTTATCCAGCTAACCGTGTGTGTGTGTGTGTGTTTTAATTTATTTAATATTTTAGCTACCAGCTAGAAACCACCTTATATGTTTCAGAGTCGCCAAATTCATTACTTTATAAGACTAATTTAAAATATATAAAATATTGTTACAGGTAAAGCAATAGGGCATTTTGGCCGGAGCCCTGCATGGTTCATTTCTGACACTCATGCAAACATTTCACAGGCAAGGGTTGAAGTTTTCCCACTAAAGCTCCAGACAAAACTCACCGTCCACTGCAATGATTCCCAGCTGGTGTGAAACTACCAGAAATCCTACTGTTGATTTTACAGCAGTAGAAAACATTAGACATATCACATCTGGGAATCATCTCAAAACTCAAATGTCCTGTTTAACGTAGCCAAATAAGTTCGTCCCCTAGTTCCCCCCCCCCAGGTCCACGCCCTTTCATTTGTCAGAGTCAGGGGCAAAAAAACGTTAACGAAAAAAAAAAGAAATCACGGAAGAGATTCGGCAGCGGTTCGAGTCTGACAAGTTTTTTTTTCTTTTGTGGTAGGCGAGGGAAGAAAGGGGAAAGGAAAAAAAAGAGGTTTTACTGCAGCTACTGCGAACTGTCAGTCCGTGCTGTCCCCATTTTAGGGTAAGTGCTCTAAAATCCGTTTCTTTCACGTTACAAGCTTATTTAAACGAAACTTTGCAGTTTTGAAAATGTGAGAGTTTTCGTAGAGTGTCAACGCCACGTTTTAGGAACACCCTTCGACCACCATCCTCAGCCAGCTGGATCTGAAGACATCTGCCGTCTTCGCACACAGTTAAAGCGTCTTTATTATGAATATACAGAACTATATACAGATAAATACACTTCTGTGGTTTGACGCGTTGTTAAAGGCGACGATTTAAAAAATGCTGGGTTAAAAAGGGACAAAACCCGCAAATGGGTTTGTCCCTTTTTAACCCAGCATTTTTTAGAGTGTACATGAGGCAACTTTTTGAGCAATTTTGCTGGGCAACTTTTTTTTTTAACAACGTTGCCTGGGCACTTTCCCCATTGTGAATGGGTAACAAATTTCTATCTGGATACTTTAGATCAGTTGTGGACCCTGTGTCTCACCTGGTTGCCCGTTGACGGCAACATTAGCCAAAGTTGCAGACAACATTGCTCAAAAAGTTGCCCTGTGTATCATCAGCCTTATAGTTAATTAATTTAAAAAAGCAATTTTATGATAGACCTAGCAATTATTTAGAAAACCAAAGAAATAATTGTTCTCTCTACGTTTAGATTAAACAGCTCTTTAAAATTATGGAAGATTTTTTTATCCAGCTAACCGTGTGTGTGTGTGTGTGTTTTAATTTATTTAATATTTTAGCTACCAGCTAGAAACCACCTTATATGTTTCAGAGTCGCCAAATTCATTACTTTATAAGACTAATTTAAAATATATAAAATATTGTTACAGGTAAAGCAATAGGGCATTTTGGCCGGAGCCCTGCATGGTTCATTTCTGACACTCATGCAAACATTTCACAGGCAAGGGTTGAAGTTTTCCCACTAAAGCTCCAGACAAAACTCACCGTCCACTGCAATGATTCCCAGCTGGTGTGAAACTACCAGAAATCCTACTGTTGATTTTACAGCAGTAGAAAACATTAGACATATCACATCTGGGAATCATCTCAAAACTCAAATGTCCTGTTTAACGTAGCCAAATAAGTTCGTCCCCTAGTTCCCCTCCTCCAGGTACACGCCCTTTCATTTGTCAGAGTCAGGGGCAAAAAAACGTTAACGAAAAAAAAAAAGAAATCACGGAAGAGATTCGGCAGCGGTTCGAGTCTGACAAGTTTTTTTTTCTTTTGTGGTAGGCGAGGGAAGAAAGGGGAAAGGAAAAAAAAGAGGTTTTACTGCAGCTACTGCGAACTGTCAGTCCGTGCTGTCCCCATTTTAGGGTAAGTGCTCTAAAATCCGTTTCTTTCACGTTACAAGCTTATTTAAACGAAACTTTGCAGTTTTGAAAATGTGAGAGTTTTCGTAGAGTGTCAACGCCACGTTTTAGGAACACCCTTCGACCACCATCCTCAGCCAGCTGGATCTGAAGACATCTGCCGTCTTCGCACACAGTTAAAGCGTCTTTATTATGAATATACAGAACTATATACAGATAAATACACTTCTGTGGTTTGACGCGTTGTTAAAGGCGACGATTTATTGAGAGTGCACGCGCGAACAATGACAATGTCCTTGATGAAAATCTTACGCGGCTGTTTGTATTGCATTGATATTTTAAACTTCTTAATCTTAAATTGAATATTTTCAAGGTTATCGTTATTTTAAATATATAAGTTGAATATAATCTTTTGTTGACGTTATTTTAAATACTAAAAAATGTAAATATATAAACAAAAAACTACATATTACACTCTAAAAAATGCTGGGTTGTTTCAACCCAACTTTGGGTCAAATTTGGACTAACCCAACTTTTGGGTTAAAAATGTAATGTAAAAATTTAACCCAAAAGTTGGGTTAGTCCATATTTGACCCAAAGTTGGGTTGAAACAACCCAGCATTTTTTTAGAGTGTAGGATAAAAATGCCAAATGTTTATATTTCTAATATAATTATAGTAAACTTAAGTGTAGATGCTTGAAGATCATGCCATTTTGAGTTTCCTCTGCCAACAGCTATTCCAAGTCAATAACACTTGTCAGAAAAGAGAGGCGTTTAACAAAAGCGTGATTTCAAGGTGAAGCAAATAAGAACTAGCTCGAGATTGTTCGCCACGAGTATTTATGCACTGGCAAAGTTGTTCCTGTGTGAATTTTTAATGGCGCATATCATGTTCGCCAGTTTGGAAACAATCTCTTTTGCGCATTGGAGAGAAACGGTAGAGTAGACGCTGTTAAACTGCATATGGCTGTGTCCCATTTTCCTTTTTTTGAGTTTGTGTGAGCGGATTTATTTATTCATTTCGCCCAGGAACAGTACAAGGTCATGTCTGTTTTGGAGAGAGTCATTTAAGTAATGGAAGATCTCTCTTCATTACTTATTATTAACCCATCCACGTGCTGTCTGTCTGAGGGAGTTTTGGGTTAAAGCTTGAGACTGTCTAGGGTGGCAAGCGCAGAATTGCCAGGTCAGGGGCCAAATACGTCAATAATTCATATGACTTCACGACTGGCACTGGATAGGGTTGAGATCTAGGGTTGAAACAGTCAACCGGATCAGTGAACGGTGCCTATAGTCACTCGAAATATGATTGTGGAGACAAGGTGTGTAAGACTTGTGACAACAACACAGCATTGACTTCTACAGAGCAACGGCCCTTTGATCGAGGGCACATGTAGACATAGTTTGTCCTGTGGATAACGGCTGACTGTATCCGGACTGTACAGTAGGGGCTGTGTCTCAAACCTACAGTGTTGTGCCGCCTGCATAGATGTTCCCTTTCAGTTAGGATGCTATTTTCTGTGTACACAGGTGCTGGTGCAGTAAACTGTGAGTCTAGGTCTTAAAAGACATCTTTTTATGATAATGCTGTCTAGGT